TTTGGGTGGTTTGCAAAGGGGGCTTCCTGCTTCTCTGCCGGGCGGGGTCAAAAAAGTCAAAATGGCCGAAGCAACGGTACGCTCCCAGTTCTGAACCTCGCCCGGCAGACGCTGCCCAGTTGTCGCAGCGGCGGGCACAGCCTCATCTGGAGGGTACTTTCCAGGCCTTGTTTTAGAGCAGGGGGTCTTCGAACTTGGCCACTTTAAGACTTGTGGACTTCAATTCCCAGAATTCCTCAGCCAGCCCTGTAGGGCTGGCTGAGGAATTCTGGGAGTTGAAGTCCACAAGTCTTAAAAGTGGCCAAGTTCGAAGACTCCTGTTCTAGAGAGGGTCACCGAGCCGGTATCAATGAAGGGGTCTTTTTGTTCTTGTGTTTTATTTTTTATTTTTTTTATTAAAATGTTTTTATAGATTTTGTTGGTTTTTAATTCACATTTTTTGGGGGGGGCTCACTCCTCTCTCCTTTAAACTTGTATAGGGCATCCTGCCCCCCAGTTATATTTTAACACTACAGCCTGGCCTGTTCTCGAAGGGGGGGCCCTTTATTTCTTTCCTAACTTCATTTTGAACCCCCTCTTTGTATCTTCGTGGGGCGGGGGGCGTTCGCACCCCAAATGCCACCGTTGGTGCCTGATTTTCTAGGTTGCCTTGCGAGGGACGCCTTGCCTCATTTCTCGCTTGCCCCCCCATCTTTACAACCTGCGGACTCGTTCAGTTTCACCCCTGGGGGGGATTTACTGGGAGAAGAACCCCAGAAGTCACAGATAAAGGAACTGGAGGGAGACATTGGGGGGGCGTTAAGCAGCACCCCGTATGGGGTAATTCCCCCCCCATTGCAAAAAAGCCACAAAGTTTCAGATCCCGTTGTCCCCCAATTGTCTCCATGCCGGGGGGGGGGGCAAAGCGAGCAGGTATTGGGGTTTTGCACCCCGCAGAGGCCTCTGGACCCCCCTTTCTACCCCACGTCCTTCTCCAAGGCCGTGCAGTTTTGGGGTCCTTCGCCCCCCAAAAATGGGCCGAACTCTCTTGGTCCCATCTTCCAGCTTGGTAGGATAGAATTGGGGGCGACGCAAACCGCAGGAAGTGGGGCTGATTTTATACCTCCCCCTTTCCCCCCCCCCAATCTTTCTGCCTCGTTCCTTTCTCCCCCCCCTGCCCCCCCCAAAACAGGGTACGGACTCTGCCTACCATGGTGCTACTTTGCCCCGAGCCCACCAGGATGTTTTAGATCAGTGTTTCTCAACTCCCAGAATTCCCCAGCCAGCGAGGGTTTCCCAGCATTCACCATGGATAGAACAGACGTAGCTAGAATGCCTTTTTTAATTGCATTTTTTTTTGTAACCTTAATAGATAAATAAGTTTCTTAATAGACAGTGGGAATGCGGTAGACGTAATATATCTTGACTTCGGCAAGCAAAGCGAGAAAAATTATAATAACCTCAGGACAAGCCGAATGAATAAGTCAGTTAAATGTGGGCTAGATGACAGCAGAAGGCTGCTATACCGGCTGGGGCGTTCTGGGAGTTGACGTCCTCCCACCTTCCAGCAGACAAGGTTGAGGAATATTGGGTTAGAGTAGGGGGTCTCCAAACCTTTAAGGCTTAAAGTGGCCATGTTTGGAGACCCCTGCTCTAACCCAGTATTTCTCAACCTTGTCTGCTGGAAGATGGGCGGAGTTCAACTCCCAGAATCCCCTAGCCAGGCATGCCTTTTTTTCTCCATTTTATCCCCTAGAATGGAGAGATTGCAGAGAAAGGGATTACAAGAGAGTATGCATATCGTATAAGAAAAAATAATGTATTACTGCCAGGGAATTCTGGGAGTTGAACCCCGCCCATCTTCAACCTGGCCCAGTTTGAGAAACATCAGGCATCCTTTATTAGGCCGGCCACTTCTCTGGCCTACCAGATGTGGAGGACTACAAGCTCCATCGTCCCCTGCGCAGGGTGTCAGTCCTGATGGGTCGAGGAACTCTCATGTTGGGAATAAGCATCCTTGGCATCGGACCCCGACTGTTTAGCCCTCCTATATCTCTCGGGGGGGGGGGGGTGTCTGTGCACGGGTGTGGCAGGGTTTGTGTGATTGTTAGCAGATCACTCTTTTTGTAATGACATATTTATTTTTTAGCTCTTTTGTGTACAAAAAGCCTTCAAATAAAAAAAATAAATAAAAGCTTGAGAAAAACCAAACTCGGCACGCAGCTGTGTTGTTTTGTAAAAAGTTGTGCGGGGGTTGTTGTGGGTAAAATACACGTGGGGATACAGTTGTGAGTTGATCTGAATGGGCCAATCTTGTGAATACATTTTTTAAAAAAGGTTTTACCACCTTTTATGACCACAATTGAGCCCACAAATTTCTGTCGCTAAGCAAGACGGTCGTTAAGTGAGTTTTGTCCTGTTTTATGACCTTTCTCCCACTTGGTTGTTAAGTGAATCTGGCTTTCCCAGTTGACTTTGCTGGTCAGAAGGTTGCAAAAGGGGATCACGTGACACACACACCCAGGACTACTGTGACTGTCATAAATATGAGTCAATGGCCAAGGGTCTGAATTCAGATCACGACTACGAGAATAGTCGTAAGTGTGAAAAATGTTCATGTCCCCTTTTCAGTGATGTAACTTTGGTTAGTAAACCGTTGTTAAGTTGAGGACTCACCATAGGTTAAGATACTAAGATAGGGGTCTTCCAACTTGGCCCTTTGATGACTTGTGGATTTCAACTCCCAGAATTCCTCAGCCAGCGTGAGGGAACTATGACCCCTTTATGACTTGTGGACTTCAACTCCCAGAATTCCTCAGCCAGCGTGAGGGAACTATGGCCCTTTATGACTTTTGGATTTCAACTCCCAGAATTCCTCAGCCAGCGTGAGGGAACTATGACCCCTTTATGACTTGTGGACTTCAACTCCCAGAATTCCTCAGCCAGCGTGAGGGAACTATGGCCCTTTATGACTTTTGGAGTTCAACTCCCAGAATTCCTCAGCCAGCGTGAGGGAACTAGGGCCCTTTATGACTTTTGGATTTCAACTCCCAGAATTCCTCAGCCAGCGTGAGGGAACTATGGCCCTTTATGACTTTTGGAGTTCAACTCCCAGAATTCCTCAGCCAGGGTGAGGGAACTATGGCCCTTTATGACTTTTGGAGTTCAACTCCCAGAATTCCTCAGCCAGCGTGAGGGAACTAGGGCCCTTTATGACTTTTGGATTTCAACTCCCAGAAATCCTCAGTCAGCATGAGGGAACTAGGACCCTTTTATGACTTGTGGACTTCAACTCCCAGAATTCCTCAGCCAGCGTGCCTGGCTGAGGAATTCTGGGAGTTGAAGTCCACCAGTCATCAAAGGGCCAAGTTGTACTAAGACAAGGTCTATATAAGTGAGGATGATCGTCTTGTAAAGCAGTATTTTTCAAGCTTGGTCTTTTGAAGACAGGCGGACTTCAGCTCCCAGAATTCTCCAGTCAGCAATGTGGGCTGTGGAATTCTGGGAGTTGCAGTCCACCCATCTCAAACTAGCCAAAGGTTGGGTGGGGGGGAACCCAGATGCAATCAGGAATAGCAGAATTAACAGAACATTAAATAGGCAAGTGGGTTGTCCAGTCCTCAAAACTTTATTTTAACTTTTCAAATCCAAATGATGGGGGTGGAGTGGGGACCCCCCCCCCCCAATTCTGCGAAGGACCTCCAAAGAGGCAGCAAGGGCGAAAGGACGCTGCAAGGTGGGCGCCACCTCCCCCCCCCGCCGCAGGAATCCGAGTCGCGGGAAAAACAAGGTTTAAAAATAGCCGCTTTATCCCCGGGCCCCGTCCCAAGAATCCGGTTGGGAGCGACTCTGCTCGCCCCTTTTCTATCCGGAAGGATGGAGCGCTCTGTACATGCTCAGGAGCCCAAGCCTTGCAAGCCCCAAGGGGAAAAGGGATCGTTCTTCGGAAAGGGGGGGGCGGCGGTCTGTACACGCTCAGGGGCACAGCTTTCCTCCTTGCAAGCCCTAACAGGAAGGGGATTGTTCCCCAAAAAGGAGGGGGGAGCTCTTTACATGCTCAGGGACACCAATTCGCAAGCCCCAAGGGGAAACGGATCGTTCTTCGGAAGGGGGAAGCGCTCTGTACGCGCTCAGGGGCACCGCCTTCCTCTTTGCAAGCCCCCCCCCTTGCAAGCCCTAACAGGAAGGGGATTGTTCCCCAAAAAGGAGGGGGGAGCTCTGTACATGCTCAGGGGCACCGCTTTCCTCTTATGCAAGCCGTCCCTGCTTGCAATGGGAAGGGGATCGCTCCCCGGAAGAGAGGTGGGCGCTCTGTACACGCTCAGGGGCACCGCTTTGCAAGCCCCAAGGGGAAATGGATCGTTCTTCGGAAGGGGGAGGCGCTCTGTACGCGCTCAGGGGCACCGCCTTCCTCTTTGCAAGCCCCCCCCTTGCAAGCCCTAACAGGAAGGCGATTGTTCCCCAAAAAGGAGGGGGGAGCTCTGTATACGCTCAGGGGCACCGCTTTCCTCTTATGCAAGCCGTCCCTGCTTGCAATGGGAAGGGGATCGCTCCCCGGAAGAGAGGTGGGCACTCTGTGCACGCTCAGGGGCACCACTTTGCAAGGCCCAAGCGGAAACGGATCGCTCTTCGGAAGGGGGGTGGGGCGCTCTGTACGCGCTCAGGGGCCCCAATTTGCAAGCCCCAAAATGAAAGGGATCGTTCTCCGGAAGGGGGAGGGGGAGGGCGCTCTGTACATGCTCAGGGCAACCAATTTGCAAGCCCCAACAAGGGGAAAGGGACCGTTCTCCGGAAGTGGAGGGGGGAGGGCGTTCTGTACATGCTCAGAGGCACCGCCTTGCAAGCCCCACTGGGAAAAACAAGGGGAAAAGGGGCGGGGGTGGGTGGGAGGGGAACCCGCTGCGCATGAGCAGCCACGTCTGCAGCCCGGGCAAACTTCAACTCCCAGCATGCTCCGCCCTTCTCCTCCTCCTCCTCCTCCCCCCCCTTTGACTTGGGGGGGGCGGAGCGAGCAAGCGGAACGAGCGCAGCAGTAGAAGAAGAAGCAATAGCAGCTCCGCCAGCCTGCCCGAAGGACCCTGTCGGACCCCCCCCCCAATTTGGAGCCCCCTCCCCAAGCATGGCAGCCCTCCGCCTCACCCCCCGCCTCTTCCTGGCGGTCGGGACCCTGCGGGGGTGAGTGGGGGCACGTGGTGGGAGCCCAGCCAGGGCTGGGGTGGGTGGGTGGGGTGGGGGACCTTGAGACGCCCCCTCCCCTTTCATTGCAATGTACTGCAACCCCCTCCCCACTTTGCAGGCCCGGGACGTCCCGCGCCCGCCCACTCGCGGGGAGACTCTACGCCGCCCAGGCGGCCGCCGCCCCCCAGGTATGTTGGGGAGGGGGCGCGGGGTCGTCTGCCTTGGTGCCACGCTCCGGGCTGGCTTGGAAAAGGGGAGCTCCGAAGGGTCCCCGCCGCGGCATTGGCCTCCCGCGCGGGTCAGCCCCTGTCTCCGTGAGGACTAGAAGCTTGAAGCCTGCGGGATCCGCGCGGGCGCTGGGATTTCTTGAAGCCGCGCTCTGCAATCCTCTTCTTTAAATGCTGGGTCTGGGGTCCTCCTGGTAACGCTGCCCCCCCCCGCCCCGTTGGATCTGCGTTGCGCGGATCCCCACGACCGACTCAGGTTGGCCCAGATGGGAGTCCGGAGCGCCGTTTGAAGGGCAGGCGCGTCAGCCCGGGGAAGATTTAGGTGCTTTATCTGGGGGAAAGGTCAGCGCGGGGGTGGAGAGGGCGGCTCCCGAGTGCCATTGTCTGCATTAATGGGGGGGGGAGATTAGCCCCCCCCATGCCTTCCCAAGGAGGGGCCAACCCAGCCCTCCCCCTCTGCCGGGAGGCCAGGAATAGCCCCCAACCCCGCCCCCCCCAGGGTCCCTTGGCTGAGTTGGACAGGAATTCCTTCCTTCCTTCCTTCCTTCCTTCCTTCCTTCCTTCCTTCCTTCCTTCTGCCTTTCTTTCCTTTTTCTGTCTCTCCCTTCCTTTTCCTTCCTCCCTCCTTTCTCCCTTCCTTTTCCTTTTTCCTTCCTCTTTCTTTCCTCCCTCTCCCCTTCCTTCCTTTTTAGTCTTCCTTCCCTCCCTCTCTCCCCCTCCATCCTTCCTTCCCCTCCCCTCCCCTTCCTTCCTTCCTTCCTTCCTTCCTTCCTTCCTTCCTTCCTTCCTTCTGCCTTTCTTGCCTTTCTCCCTCTCTCTCCCCTTCCTTCCTTCCTTCCTTCCTTCCTTCCTTCTGCCTTTCTTGCCTTTCTCCCTCCCTCTCCCCTTCCTTCCTTCCTTCCTTCCTTCCTTCCTTCCTTCTGCCTTTCTTGCCTTTCTCCCTCCCTCTCCCCTTCCTTCCTTCCTTCCTTCCTTCATTCCTTCCTTCCTTCCTTCCTTCCTTCCTTCTGCCTTTCTTGCCTTTCTCCCTCCCTCTCCCCTTCCTTCCTTCCTTCCTTCCTTCCTTCCTTCCTTCCTTCCTTCCTTCTGCCTTTCTTGCCTTTCTCCCTCCCTCTCCCCTTCCTTCCTTCCTTCCTTCCTTCCTTCCTTCCTTCCTTCCTTCCTTCCTTCCCCTATCTGTTCCTCCCTCCGTCGTTTTCTTTTTCCCCTCCCTTCCTTCCTTCTGCCTTTCTTCCCTTTCTCCCTCCCTCTCCCCTTCCTTCCTTCCTTCTCCTGCCTGTTCCTCCCTCCCTCCCTCCTTTTCTTTTTCTCTTTCCTTCCTTCCTTCCTTCCTTTCCCTATCTATTCCTCCCTCCCTCCTTTTCTTTTTCTCCTTCCTTCCTTCCTTCCTTTCCCTATCTATTCCTCCCTCCCTCCTTTTCTTTTTCCCCTTCCTTCCTTCCTTCCTTCCTTCCCTTTTCTATTCCTTCCTTCCCCAACCCTTGGTGCCTCCTAAACTCAGGATGCTGGCAGGGCAAGGCTTGCAATTTGCCAATCTGTTTACTTATCTGTTCACGGGGTTCCTGTGTCACCCATCCACCCTCAAGTGATTCAGGCTGTTTACAAACAGCATAACACAACCACACAAGCACCCAACTCAACACGCCCAGAGATAAAAGCTAAGTTGAAAACACGCAGGTAAAACTTCAGAATTCAGAAGAGACAGAGATAGCAAACAATCCGCTTAACAACGGGGTGTGTGTGTGTGTGTGTGTGTTTAACAGCCACCACAAAAAAGGTCGTAAAATCTACCCATTTTAGGACAGGGAAGACTGTGACTGAGGTCACAGTCTTCAATTTTTCTGCTGCGTTGCGTCTAAATTCCACTTTTCGGTAGCGTTGCATCCAATTTCCATTTTCCTGCAGCGTTGCATTTAAATTCCAATTTTCTGCAACGTTGCATTTAAATTCCAATTTTCTGCAATGTTGCATTTAAATTCCATTTTCCTGCCATGTTGCACTTAAATTCTACTTTTTTGCAGCCTTGCATCAAAAATCCACTTTCCTGCAGTGTTGCATTTAAATACCACTTTCCTGCAGCCTTGCATTCAAATTCCACTTTTATGCAATGTATTTGTACCCAATTCTACGCATAGGCAATGTTGCTAAATATAGCACCCAATTTCCATTTTTGTGCATTGTTGCACACGCAAACCCCTGGGATGAAAGGAGCACCCCATACATTTGAAGGAATGTCATGCTGTCTCCCTCTTTTGCAGACCGCCCCGGAAAAGCACAGATTGAAGCCAGAGTCAGCGCCCCAAGAAGAATTGGGGAAAAAGCATCTTCCGACGGTATGTGGTCTTTTGTCTTCCTCCTCCTCTCCCTTCTTGGGGTCTCGGGGGCAATATTGGGGGGAGCAATTTTGATGCAAAGCAGCACCAAGTTGGATAAGGAAAGGCAGAGAGAACAGAATAGAGTAGAGTAGAACAGAACAACATGTAGAATAGAATAGAATAGAATAGAATAGAATAGAATAGAATAGAATAGAATAGAATAGAATAGAAATATAAGATAGGATAGGATAGAGTAGAATAGAACAGAATATGGAATGGAATGGAATAGAATAGAATAGAATAGAATAGAATAGAATAGAATAGAATAGAATAGAATAGAAATATAGGGTAGGGTGGAGTGGAGTGGAATGGAATGGAATGGAATAGAATAGAATAGAATAGAATAAGGAATAGAATAGAATAGAATAGAATAGAATAGAATAGAATAGAATAGAATAGAATAGAATAGAATAGAAATATAGGATAGGGTAGGGTGGAGTGGAATGGAATGGAATAGAATAGAATAGAATAGAATAAGGAATAGAATAGAATAGAATAGAATAGAATAAGGAATAGAATAGAATAGAATAGAATAGAATAGAATAGAATAGAATAGAATAGAATAGAATAGAATAGAATATAGGATAGGGTAGGGTGGAATGGAATGGAATGGAATGGAATAGAATAGAATAAAATAGAATAGAATAAGGAATAGAATAGAATAGAATAGAATAGAATAGAATAGAATAGAAATAGAATAGAATAGAATAGAATAGAATAAGAAGAATAGAATAGAATAGAATAGAATAGAATAGAATAGAATAGAATAGAATAGAATAGAATAGATAGAATAGAATAGAATGAAATAGAATAGAATAGAATATAGGAATAGTGGAATGGAAATGGAATGGAATAGAATAGAATAGAATAAGGAATAGAACAGAGTAGAGTAAATAGAATAAAATAGAATAGAATAAGGAATAGAATAGAATAGAATAGAATAGAATAGAATAGAATAGAATAGAATAGAATAGAAATATAGGATAGGGTAGGGTGGAGTGGAATGGAATGGAATAGAATGGAATAGAATAGAATAAGGAATAGAACAGAGTAGAGTAAATAGAATAGAATAGAATAAGGAATTAGAATAGAATAGAATAGAATAGAATAGAATAGAATAGAATAGAATAGAATAGAATAGAATAGAATAGAATAGAATAGAAGTAGCAGAGTTGGAAGGGACCTTGGAGGTCCTCTAGTCCACCCCCCTGCCCAGGCAGGAAACCCTATATTCCATTTCGGACAAATGGCTGTCCAGTCTCTTGTTAAAGACTTCCAGTGTTGGAGCATTTACTGCTTCTGGAGGCAGGTTGTTCCACTGATTAATTGTTCTCACTGTCAGGAAATTTCTCCTTCGTTCCAGGTTGCTTCTCTCCTTGGTTAATAGACAAACCAAAACTCACTCCTGCTCTTTAATGGGCAAACACCCTACAATTTTCCAATCTTAAATCTTATTATTATTAATTTAATACCTCCTCCCTTTCGGGTGTCAGCTGTTTCTGAGGTCAAGAAAATAGTCACCCCGAAACCCGTTTTCTGGTGTGGACAAATCCAATAAGCTGTTGACATTTTGCTCTGCCAAGTCATCCAGATCCAAAACACAGGCAGTCCTCGTCTTACAACGGTTCATTTAGCGACTGTTAACAGCACTGGAAAAAAAGAGACTTAACGACCATTTTTTACACTTAAGACGGTTGGAGCATCCCCCGGTCATGTGTTCAAATATCGGACGCTTGGCAACCGACTCGTATTTATGACGGTTGCAGCGTCCCCCGTGTGTGTGTGTGTGTGTGTGTGTGTGTGTGTGTGATGTGATCCCCTTTTGCGATCTTCTGACAAGCTAGGTCAAGGGGGGAAACCAGATTCGCTTAGCGACCAGGCTACTATTTTAACGACTGCAGCAATCCACTTAACGACGGTAGCCAGAAAAGTCGTAAAGCGGGTCAAAACTCACTTTAACGACCGTCTCGCTTAGCAACGGAAATTTTGTTCTCAGTTGTCGTAATTCGAGGACTGCCTGTATAGCTGTATTTAAAAAATAAACTTACACAGGGCTGGGGATAACATACACCGGGGGGGGGGCAGCCTAAGCCAGATTGGGGCACTTTGCAAAATGGGGCGGGGGCTAGAGAGAGATTGGGGGTCGTGGGGGGGGGGGTCTGGCAGAGAGGGAGGGGCTGGCATCGCCATCTTGAGTTTTTACCATCTGGGGAATAGAAACCGGACCGCTAGCAAAGAGACGATGCCTTTTCTGGGCCAGAAAGAGGGACGTGTCAGGATTTGAACCCAGGACCCTGGATCAGTGGCCCTTTAATCTTCTTTTTTTTTTTTCCCCTCTCTCCAACTTGCAGGAAACCAAGTCCTTTGCGGTGGGCATTTTCAAGGGCCAGATCATCACGGACCAAGTCTTCCCTTATCCTTCCGGTAAAAAAATGGGGGGGTGGGCGGCTGGGGCAGGATGGGAGGGGGGGAGGCAGGTGTGTTTGTGGGTCTGTGAGTGTGCGTTTGCGTGGGCAGGATTGCCTGATCCAGCACACGGTTTGAAAAGTTCAGGTAGTCCTTGACTTAACAGCTGAGTCCAAACTTTCCGTCGTTAAGGGAGACGTTCGCTAAGGGAGCTTTGCCCCCTTTTGCGACCTCCCTTACCACGGTCGTTAAGTGAATCGCTGCGGTTGTTAAATGAAGAACGGTCGTTAAGTGAATCCGGCTTCCCCCCCTTGACTTTGCTGGTCAGAAGGCTGCAAAAGGGGGGCACGTGGCCCCCGGGGGACGTTGCGACCGTCATAAATACGAGTCAGGTGCTGAGCATCCTAATTTTGATCATGTGACCCCCGGGGGAGGCTGCGACCGTCATAAATACGAGTCAGGTGCCGAGCATCCTGATTTTTATCACGTGACCGCGGGGAGGCTGCGACCGTCATAAATACGAGTCAGGTGTGCCGAGCGTCCCAATTTTGATCACGGGGGGCTGTGACGGTCGTAACTATGAAAAATGGTCACTAGTCACTTTTCCGTGCCGTCGTAACGTTGAACGGTCACTAAAGAAACAGTTGTAACCTGAGGACTGCCTGTCTTGTCAAAAATGGCCGCTGAACGGAGGCCTATAAGTCGAGGGCCTGTCATAAGTCCTTTTTTTTTTTAACAAACTTCGGTCGGTCACTAAACGGACAGTCATAAGTCGAGGACTCTCCCATCCCCCCCCAATAATAACACACGCGCCCCCCCCCCTCTGGTTTCGCCGCAGTTCTGAACGAGGAGCAGACGCAGACTTTGCGGGAGCTGGTGGGCCCCGTCGCCCGCTTCTTTGAGGTAGGAAAGGGATTATGGGGTTGGGGGGCTGCTGGGGGGGAGGTCAGGCCCCTCCCCTGCAGCAACGCCGGCTGTTGCCCCCCATGCCCCCTTTTTCGCAGGAGGTGAACAACCCCTCGCTCAACGACGAGCTGGCCCAGGTGCAGGAGAAGACCATGAAGGGGCTGAAGGAGATGGGGGCCTTCGGCCTGCAGGTCCCCACGGCGCTGGGGGGCCTGGGGCTCACCAACACCCAGGTCGGTCCCGTATCCCCCTCCCCTGCAGGTGGGGGGGGCTTTTCCCCAGATTGGCAGCGTCCGCCGGCGCTCCAAAGGGGGCTGAACTCTGCACGTGCTTAGGGGTGTCTCTGCCCCGCAGTATGCCCGCATGGTGGAAATCGTGGGGATGCACGACCTGGGTGTGGGCATCACCCTGGGCGCCCACCAGTCCATCGGCTTCAAGGGGATCCTGCTCTACGGTTCCCAGGAGCAGAAGAAGAAGTACCTGCCCAAGCTGGCATCCGGTAGGGCTGGGCACGGGGGGGATGGGGGGCTGGCACGGCCAGGGGGGGTGGGGGGTGAGAGGGTGCCCCCCCCAACCCAGAATGGGACCCCTGAAAAACTGGATCTTTGCTTCTTCGGGCTGCGTGGCTGGTGCCGCAACCGGCTGCTCGTCTCTTTCTCGCGAGTAGCGGAAAGTCTTAGGTTGATTTCTGTCTGTTTTACTGAGGTCTGGTCTCTTTAGAGTGGTTTTAGAATTCGGTTTGTGTCCCCCGTCGTGGGTTGTGCGGCTCAAGGCGGCATGCCGTTTTCCCAAAACAGCCCTGTGAGGTGGTTTGGGCTGGGAGAGAGAAGGACTGGCCCAAAATCACCTGCCCGGCTTTTCTAAGGTGGAACTAGAACTCCCCGTCTCCTAGTGATTGGCCCAATGTCACCCAGCTGGCTTTATGGCTGTGGCAGGACGAGAACTCTCTGTCTGTCAAGGAGGAACTAGAATTCACCATCTCCTAGTCATTGGCCCAAAGTCACCCAGCCAGCTTTTCTAAGGAGGAACTACAACTCACCCTCTCCTAGTCATTGGCCCAAAGTCACCCAGGAGGAACTAGAACTCACCATCTCCTAGTGATTGGCTCAAAGTCATCCAGCCAGCTTTTCTAAGGAGGAACTAGAATTCACCATCTCCTAGTGATTGGCCTAAAGTCACCCTGGCAGCTTTATGGCTATGGCAGAACTAGAACTCACCGTCTCCTGGTGATTGGCTCAAAGTCATCCAGCCAGCTTTTCTAAGGAGGAACTAGAACTCACCATCTCCTAGTGATTGGCCGAAAGTCACCCAGCCAGCTTTTCTAAGGTGGAACTAGAATTCATCATCTCCTAGTGATTGGCCTAAAGTCACCCAGCCAGCTTTATGGCTATGGCAGAACTAGAACTCACCGTCTCCTAGTGATTGGCCCAAAATCACCCAGCCAGCTTTTCTAAGGAGGAACTAGAACTCACTATCTGCTAGTGATTGGCCGAAAGTCACCCAGCCAGCTTTTCTAAGGTGGAACTAGAATTCATCATCTCCTAGTGATTGGCCTAAAGTCACCCAGCCAGCTTTATGGCTATGGCAGAACTAGAACTCACCGTCTCCTAGTGATTGGCCCAAAGTCACCCAGCCAGCTTTTCTAAGGTGGAACTATAATTCACCATCTCCTAGTGATTGGCCTAAAGTCACCCCGGCAGCTTTATGGCTATGGCAGAACTAGAACTCACCGTCTCCTGGTGATTGGCTCAAAGTCATCCAGCCAGCTTTTCTAAGGAGGAACTAGAACTCACCATCTCCTAGTGATTGGCCTAAAGTCACCCCGGCAGCTTTATGGCTCTGGCAGAACTAGAACTCACCGTCTCCTAGTGATTGGCCCAAAGTCACCCAGCCAGCTTTTCTAAGGTGGAACTATAATTCACCATCTCCTAGTGATTGGCCTAAAGTCACCCCGGCAGCTTTATGGCTATGGCAGAACTAGAACTCACCGTCTCCTGGTGATTGGCTCAAAGTCATCCAGCCAGCTTTTCTAAGGAGGAACTAGAACTCACCATCTCCTAGTGATTGGCCGAAAGTCACCCAGCCAGCTTTTCTAAGGTGGAACTAGAATTCATCATCTCCTAGTGATTGGTCTAAAGTCACCCAGCCAGCTTTATGGCTATGGCAGAACTAGAACTCACCGTCTCCTGGTGATTGGCCCAAAGTCACCCAGATGGCTTTTCTGAGGTGGAACTAGAACTCTCCGTCTCCCGTTTTCTAGCCCAGCACCTTCACCCCAACGTTTCCCTCGCCTATGACTTGGTCTTTGTGGTGTGCTGAGGGGGGGGGGCATAGGGGAACACTGTTTGTGCTACTTCCGCCCCTCACCCCAGGTGAGACCATCGCCGCCTTCTGCCTGACCGAAAACACCAGCGGCTCCGACGCAGCCTCGATCCGGAGCAGAGCCGAACTCAGCTCCTGCGGCACCTACTACACCCTGAACGGGAGCAAGCTCTGGATCAGGTGAGGCAGACTGGGGGGCGGGGTGGACAACAGGTGAGGTGCCCCCTCCCATCATCCAGAGGAAGGGTCCTTGAAATACAGGTGGTCCTCGACTTAGGAGAGTTCATTTAGTGACCGAGGTTACAATGGTCGTTAAGCAAACCCAGTGGTCATTAAACAAATCCAGTGGTCATTAAACGAATCCAGTAGTCATTAAGTGAATCCAGTGGTCGCTAAGCAAATCCAGTGGTTGCTAAGCAAATCCAGTGGTTATTCAGTGAATCCAGTGGTCGCTGAGCAAATCCAGTGGTCGCTAAACGAATCCATGCTCATTAAGCGAACCCAGTGTCGTTAAATAAATCCGGCTTCCCTGTGGACGTGGCCCCTCCTGAGGTCACAAACACGTGGCAACCGTCGTAAATACAGGCCGGTTGCCAAGTGCCCACGTTTGGGGACCGATAGGATGCTGCGACGGTCGTAAGTGCGAGGACAGGGCGCCAGCCGACTTTTCTCAGTAATGTCCAATGGTCGCTAAACGAACAGCCATAAGTTGAGGACGGTCTGAAAAAGATTAACAAACCAGAACCGAAATGAGGGAAGAAATAACAACAACAATAATAATATAATTAAAAAGTTGGAAGGGACCTTGGAGGTCATATAGACCAACCCCCTGCTCATGCAGGAAACCCTATACCAGGGGTAGGCAACCTTGGCTCTTGTATGACTTGTGGACTTCAACTCCCAGAATTTCTGAGCCAGGCACGCTGTCTGAGGAATTCTGGGAGTTGAAGTCCACAAGTCATACAAGAACCAAGGTTGCCTACCCCGCCCTATACCCTATATCAATAACAACGGTCCAATTCCGGGAAGGGGGGTCTCTGTACGGGGGGGGGCACATTTCCTGGGGGAGGGTCCTAAAATTGCATCTTTCCTCGCCCAGCAATGGCGGCATTGCCGATATCTTCACCGTTTTTGCCAAAACGCCGCAGAAGGACGAGACGGGGAAGACGAAGGACAAGATCACGGCATTCGTGGTGGAGCGGTCTTTCGGGGGGGTCACCAGGTGAGGTGTTGAGGGGACTGGAGTTCACATCCTTTAGGGCAGGGGTCTTCAAACTTGGCCCTTTTATGACTTTTGGACTTCAGCTCCCAGAATTCCTCAGCCAGCATGCCTGTCTGGGGAATTCTGGGAGTTGAAGTCCACAAGTCACAAAAGGGTCAGTTCCCTCACGCTGGCTGAGGAATTCTGGGAGTTGAAGTCCCCAAGTCATCAAAGGGCCATAGTTCCCTCACGCTGGCTGAGGAATTCTGGGAGTTGAAGTCCACAAGTCATAAAAGAGTCCTAGTTCCCTCACGCTGGCTGAGGAATTCTGGGAGTTGAAGTCCATAAGTCATAAAAGGGCCAAGTTTGAAGACCCCCCTGCTTTGGGGTGCTGAGCAAAGGAGGGGGGAGAGATGGCCAGCCCCCCCTCGAGCCGGTGGGGCGGGCAGAGAAGGACCCCCCTCTTTTCGGGTATCTTCTGGGGGGGCTCTAATTCCCTCTCGTCCCCTCCCCCAGCGGCCCCCCCGAGAAGAAGATGGGCATCAAGGGGTCCAACACGGCCGAAGTCCACTTTGACAACGTCCGGGTGCCGGTAGAGAATGTGCTGGGTGCGCCAGGCGCCGGCTTCAAGGTGGCCATGAACATCCTGAACAACGGGCGTTTCGGCATGGCGGCGGCCATGGGCGGCACCATGCGGGCGCTCATTCAGAAAGCGGTGAGCGCCCCCCACCCTGCTTTCTTCTCCTTCCCCCCCTGTATCCCCTCATGCAGATAGTCCTCGACTTACGACTGCAACTTTGCCCGACTTTTCTGTTGCCAAAGCGAGACTGTTGTAGAATGTCCCCTTTTACGACCGTTCTTGCCACCGTCGTTCATTACTGCGGCCGTTAAGTCAGCCGCACGGCTGTTAGCAAATGCACCTTCCCCTGTAAAAGGGGATCACGCCCTTTTGGGATGCTGCAACCCATCATAAATACGGTCGAGGATCCGGATTTTGATCCCGCGGTGATGCAAAGGTCGTAAGTGTGAACATTGACCACAAGTCCCTTGTCTCAGCGCCGTGGTGACTTTGAATCGTCACTAAATGAACCGCTGTAAGCCGAGGACAGACGGTGCCCCTGCTCAAATTCTTCTCCTCCTCCTCCCTTTCCATCCCAAAGGTGGACTTCGCCGCTAACCGGACTCAGTTTGGGGAAAAAATCCACACTTTTGGGGTGATCCAGGAAAAACTCGCCCGCATGGCGTTGCTGCACTACGTGACCGAGGTACGGGCGTGCAAAACAGGCGTGCGCTTGTGTTTGTGTGTACATTCGGCACAGTGCCCGAAGTGTCATTTCTCAGATCTGCGGCGTTCCAGTATCGCTCGACAGCCTTGAGGACTAGAAACTTAGTTCCCCCCCCAAAATCGGATCCCTGAGACTTGATCCAGAGACCAGGTCTTAAAAGCAAATGCTAGCACGTAATAACGTAAAAACCCTTTCTTTCCGTGATATTATATAGACGTATGACTGGAACTGAGCCCTGAATTAAGTTGTGCCGGTCGTTAAGCGGGATCACTACGGAACTGCACCCAATTTTATGACCTCTTTTGTGGCAGTCTCTAAGCAAACTCATTGACGCAATGTGTGTGTGGGGGGGGTTGGTTTTTTATGCCAGAAACAGGAATTAAAAGAAACAGTTTGTAGCAAATCTTTTATTTTAGGGTTGAGTATTTGTATTTTTAATCATGTTTTATATTCATTGTGTATGGAATGGAATGGAATGGAATAGAATAAATATAGGAATAAAAGAGTAGAATAGAATAGAATAGAATAGAATAGAATAGAATAGAATAGAATAGAATAGAATAGAATAGAATAGAATAGAATAGAATAGAATAGAATAGAAAATATGGAATGGAATAGAATATGGGATGGAAGAATAGAACAGAATAGAATACAAAAGAAAAGAAAATATGGAATAGAATAGAAAAGAAAATATGGAATGGAATAGAATTAGAATTAAAACAGAATAATAAAATATAGAATAGAATAGAAATACGAATGCAATAGAATAGAATATAGAATGGAATAGAATAGAATTACAGAACGGAATAGAACAGAGAACAGAACAGAATAGAACAGAACAGAATAGAATAGAATAGAATAGAATAGAAAATACGGAGTGGAATAGAATAGAATGGAATATAGAATAGGAATAGGAATAGAGCTGGAAGGGACCTTGGAAGTCTTCTAGTCCAGCCCCTTGCTCAAGCAGGACTAGACTCTGTACAATAGGATAAGAAGTTTAAAAATCTGTGAAAAAGCCATTTTTTTTTAATTCCCCAAAGACCCCTTGGTTCTCTCTCTCTTTAGTCCATGGCCTACATGATCAGCGCCAACATGGACCGGGGGGCTTCGGACTTCCAGATCGAGGCGGCCATCAGCAAAGTCTTTGGCTCGGTGAGTCCTGGCTGGGGCCCCAGGGTGGATCCCCCCCCTCATTCCCCCACCACCATGGCCCCGTAGCGTTGTGGGTCTCTGCAGGCCAGGAAGGGGGGGACGATGTCACCATGGGGCTGACTCACAGGGTGCAACTTGCAGAAATCACGAATGTTGTCGTTCCCCCCCCCCCCCGAGCTCTGGGTGCTCCATCCCTGGAGGCTTTTTAAGAAGAGACTGGACAGCTGTTTGTCTGAAAAGGTGTGGGGTCTTTTGCCTGAGCAGGGGGTTGGACTAGATGACCTCCAGGGCCTCTTCCCGCTCTGTTATTCGGCTGTCTCCTGGAGTTGTGGGTGCTCCAACACTGGAAGTTTTTAAGAAGAGACCAGACAGCGGTTTGTCTGAAAAGGTGTGGGGGTCTCCTGCCTGAGCAGGGGGGTTGGACTAGATGACCTCCAAGGCCCCTTCTGGATCTGTCGTTCTGAAGCCGTGGTGCTCCGCTTCACACTGGGCAGCTGGCCTGTTTGGGACAGAAACTCTCCTAGCTTTTTGAAAGCGTGTTTAGATCTCGCTCTGCCAAGTGGCATGGGGGCAGATCAGAGAGTGACGACATTCAACCCTTTGGGTGGTGGGTGACATGGGGGAGGGGAGGGAGGGAGGGAGGAAGGAAGGAAGAAAGGGAAGAAGGAAGGAAGGGAGGAAGGAAGGAGAGGGAGGGAGGGAGGAAGGAAGAGAGGGAGGAAGGAAGGGAGGAAGGAAGAAAGGGAAGAAGGAAGGAAGGGAGGGAGAGAGGAAGGAAGGAGAGGGAGGGAGGAAGGAAGGAAGGAGAGGGAGGGAAGAAGGAAAAGGAGGGAGTGAGGGAGGAAAAGGAGGGAGGGGGGGAGGGAAGAAGGGAGGGAGGAAGCAAAGAAAGGGAGGCTGGAAAAGGAAGGAAAAGGAGGGAGGGAGAGGAAGAAGGGAGGAAGGATGGAGGGAAAAGAGAGGGAGGAAAAGAATAGGACAGAAGTTGAAGGAAAGAGAAAGAAAGAGAAAAGAAAGAAGGAAGAAATGAAAGAAAGAGAAAGAAAGAAAGAAAGAAAGAAAGAAAGAAAGAAAGAAAGAAAGAAAGAAAAGCAGAACTGTCTGCTCATGTCCAGACAAGAACGCTTCATTCCGCATTGCTTTTATCTGTTCTTGTTTTTCTCCATGTGCAGGAAGCTGCTTGGGCCGTTTCAGACGAATGCATCCAGACCATGGGCGGGATGGGGTTCATGAAGGTCAGGGGGCTTTTTTTGTGGTGGCGGGGGGCTAATATCTAGGTTTTAATTTTATTTCTTTCTAATGATTTTCTGTTGAGCCCGGTGAGGAAGTTTGTTACTGTCTGTTTTTATTAGCATTTCTCAGCCAGGGTGGTTTTAAGCTGGGTGGACTTCAAAAACAGGCCAGAGCGGAGAGATTGCAGAGAAAGGGATTATAAGAGAGTAAGCAGGCGTACATATCAAAAGGAATGCATTAGTGGCATCGATCAGTTTCTCTCTCCTTCTCTTTCTCTCTCCCTCTCTTTTTTTTATTTCTCTCTCTCTGTTTCTATTTCTCTCTTCCTTTTTCTCTTTCTTTTTCTTTTCTCTCTCTCTCCTTCTTTCTCTTTTTTATTTCTTTCCTCTCTATTTCTCTTTTCTTTCTTTTTCTATTTCTCCTCTTTCTCTCTCTCTTTTTCTCTTTCTCTATTTCTCCTCTCTCTCTTTTTTATTTCTTTCTCTCGCTCCTCTTTCTCTCTTTCTTTTTCTTTCTCTCTCTCTCTTTCTTTTTCTCCTATCCGATTCCTCGGCTGCAGGAAAGCGGAGTGGAACAAGTGATGCGTGATTTACGCATTTTCCGGATCTTTGAAGGCACCAACGAAATCTTACGGCTTTTCATTGCCCTCTACGGATTCCAGGTGGGTGGGGCGGCTTTAGGGACGGGCGAGATTTGGGGGGGGAACCTGAATTAAACCGGGGGGGGCGGTGTTCTTACCCATTGCCCATGCAACAATCCAGAAGGGGTGGCAAGTAAAGACGATCCGGGTTTGATCACGTTGGCGTTCTCGGGAGCCAGGAAAACTCCACACTCTCTGATTTCCCTCTGATCCAGAACGCGGGGAACCAGCTTCGCGGTTTGCAACAAGCCGTCAAGAACCCCTGTGGGAATGCTGGCTTGCTGGTCAGCGAGGCGGGCAAGCGAGTACGCAGGTACGGCGCATCTGTGGGCGGTTTCCGCTTCCCAGAGCGTGAGAAACGGGTGGTGGATGAGACAATTTTGAACGCCGAGGGTGTGGGAGGAAATTTGCCAGAGGTGGTGACACCAAAGGGGGCGTTGATTCATGGCTACCACTAAGCCAGCATGTTCAAACAAACCATAGTGGCTTCTCAAGCACACTAAAAAGGTCACAGAAGGTGGAGTTGTGGAGTTGTGAGCAACCAGGAGTCTCACATGCACGCAGGGACAGTGTCCTAGAACAAGGTCTTCAATTTGGCCCTTTTAGGACTCGTGGACTTCAACTCCCAGAATTCCTCAGCCAGCATGGGGGAACTATGGCTCCCTTCATGACTCGTGGACTTCAACTCCCAGAATTCCTCAGCCAGCATGGGGGAACTATGGCTCCCTTCATGACTCGTGGACTTCAACTCCCAGAATTCCTCAGCCAGCATGGCTCAGCTTGGAAACCTCTCTCTTTCCCCTCAGCATGGCTGGCTCAGGAATTCTGGGAGTTGAAGTCCATGAGTCACAAAAGAGCCAAAGTTGCTTACTCTTTGTGATCTAAAGGTAGCAAATGCCTCCGTCCTTGAAGGTGAACTGCTCCTGAAGTTGGAGGCTCTCTATGAACGAGTAGTCCTCGACCGGACCCAAAATGGCGGTTGCTAAGTGATATATAACATTAAGCGAATTTTGATCCATTTTTACGATCCTCCTTGCCACACTTGTTAAGCGATTGTTAAATTAGTCACACGGTAGTTAAGCGAATCTGGCTTTCCCCCCCCCCATTGAGTTTGCTGGTCAGAGGTTCGCAAAAGGGGATCGCGTGACACACACACACACACACCCGGGACGCTGCGCCCGTCGTAAATACGAGTCGGTTGCCAGGCGTCTGAATTTTGCTCCCGTGGCTGCAAGGAGGTTACAGCAGCCGTAAGTGTGAAAAGGGGGTTTAATTCCCTTTTCTTTTAGTGCCGTTGAAACTTCGAACGGCCACTAAGCGAATCGTCATAAGTCGAGGACTGCTTGTAGCTTGTCGCTCACGAATCCAGGCTTTTTCCCAGCGAGCCTATCTCCTTTTTTTTTATTTGTTTATTTTTAAAGCTACCGGGAAGATCAGCTCCCGCTTCGGGGCAGTGAGTCTTCTCTGTTCTTTTCTCCGTTGTCACTCCACAAAATATTTTTGAGATGTTTCGGTTTTTTATTTTTTCTTCACCCCCCCATCTGTCAGTCATTTCTGCCATCCAATCCCCAGCTCCCATCGAGAGGCGCAAAGCACTTTTGCTGCTTCGTTTTGCGACGGGAGGGAATGTGTGAATGGGCCCATCCCTCGCCTGCTTTCCCTGGGGGTCATCTGGGGGGGGGAGGATCTGCACGTTTTAAATCCCATTTTGTCACCATTTGTGCTGTTCTGTGTTTATAGGGGGGATTTGAACGGGGGGGGGCTGGACTCAGAGGGGGGGCTGGGCTGGGCTTGGTGGGAGGGGGCTGGCCAGGGCTAAGGGGGGGGGGCTGGGCTCAGCTTGATGGGAAGGGGCTGGGCTAGGAGGGGCTGGGCTGGGGGGGCTGGCCAGGGCTAGGAGGGGGGGCTGGGCTCAGCTTGGTGGGCTGGGCTGGGTTCAAGGGGGGGGGCTGGCCAGAGCTAGGAGGGGGGGATGGGCTGGGCTTGGTGGGAGGGGGCTGGGTTGGGCTAGGAGAGGGGCTGGCCAGGGCTAGGAGGGGGCTGGGCTCAGCTTGGTGGGAGGAGGCTGGGCTGGCTGGGGGGGGGCTGGCCAGGGCTAGGAGGGGGGGCTGGGCTGGGCTAGGAGGGAGGCTGGGCTTGGCTTGGTGGGAGGAGGCTGGGCTGGCTGGGGGGGGGCTGGCCAGGGCTAGGAGGGGGGGCTGGGCTGGGCTAGGAGGGGGGGCTGGACTGGGCTGGGGGGATGGGCTGGGCTTGGTGGGAGGGGGCTGGGTTGGGCTCGGAGGGGGGGGCTGCATAAAGAGTTGTGAAGCTACTTCTCACCCCCTTTTCTCTCCCCCCCCACTCCCCAGGAGGGCGGGCCTGGGGACAGGGCTAAGCCTGAAGGGCGTGGTGCACCCAAGTCTGGAGTCCAGCAGTGAGCAGGTGAGTCTGGCCGGACCCCCACACTGGTGTGTGTGTGTGCATCTGTGCGAGCAAGTGTTTGGTGCCCCCTGGGAGGAGCAACTGGGGACCAGCAGTAATTTCAAACCGTCACTAAATGAAACAACGTAAGTCGAGGACTACCTGTGTAAGACTTGGAACATGAGTTCCAAGTGCTGTTTCAGCCCTGAAAACTAGCTGGGTGACTTTGGGTCAATCACCAGGTGGCTCTGAGTTCTAATGCCGCCTTAGGTAGGAAAGCCTAGCTGGCTGACTTTGGGCTGGTCCTTCTCCCTCAGCCCAACCCACCTCACAGGGTGGTTGTGGGGAAAATGTCTGTTCTGTTCTATTCTATTCTATTCTTAATTCTATTCTATTCTATTCTATATTTCTATATTCCTCTATTTATTTATTTCTAAAATTTATATGCCGCCCAGTCCCAAAGGACTCAGGGCAGCGTACAAAATTAAAACAATAATATGACAATAAAACAATTCTACTCTATATTATTATTCTATTCTATTCTATTATTTCTTATTCTATTCTATTCTATTCTATTCCTTATTTCTATTCTATTCTATTCTTAATTCTATTCTATTCTATTCTTATTTCTATTCTATTCTTATTTCTATTCTATTCTATTCTTATTCTATTCTTATTTCTATTCTATTCTATTAATTTTTATTAATTTATTTTCTACTAATTTCTATTCTATTAATTTCTATTCTATTCTATTAATTTTTATTTCTATTCTAATTTCTATTCTATTATTAATTTCTATTATATTCTATTATTATTTTTCTATTGTATTCTATTAATTTTTATTCTATTCTGTATTCTATATTTCTATTCTATATTTCTATTCTATTCTGTATTTCTATTCTATTATGTTCTATTCTGCAATCACCTACCCCCTTTCACCTTTTGCCCCCCTTGCCCTTTTTCCAGGCCGTCCAAGCCATTGACCTTTTTGCTGGTGTCATTGAGAACCAGCTCCTCAAACATGGAAAGAAAGTTGTCGGTGAGTTTGGGGTTCTCAGGGGGTGGGGGGTGGGACCCCCATGGATTCCTTGCCGGGAGGAGTGTGGGTGGGCTGGAGGGACAAATCTCTGCTCATCCCAATACAGGTCGTCCCCAAGACACGACCACCGTTGAGCCCAAAATGTATGTCACTAAGTGAAACATTTGCTAAGGGAGTTTGGCCTCATTGAACGACTGTCCTTTGCCATATTTGTTAAGTCAGTCCTTGCCGTTGTTAAACGAGTCACACGGTCAGTAAGTGAATTTGGCTTCCCCCCCCAATTGCTTATCGGAAGGTCGCAAAAGGGGATTACGTCACACACACACACACACACACACACACGGGACGCTGCAACCGTCGTAAATACTGCTTGCCACCAAAAGTTGTGGGTGCTCCATTGCTGGAGGTTTTTAAGAAAAGAGACTGGACAGTACCTTGTCTGGTATATAGCAGTGGTTCTCAACCTTTTTAATGCCGCGACCCCCAACCGGTCGTAAGTTGAGGACTACTCAACTGGTCGTAAGTCGAGGACTACTCCACTGGTGCAGCACTGTTTGCAGGATGGGACTTTTGGCGGGCTCAGCAGGGCAGAGACAGCCTGGACAATTCCTATTGGCTTTTGAAAGCCAATAGAATTAGACTCTATTCAAGAGAGTCTCTTCTATTGGCTTTCAAAAGCCAATAGAATAAAAGGGAGGAGCACAGCTGAGGAAAAGGGGGGAAAAATGGCGGACTGCGTTGTTTGGCGACCCCCGTGAAATGGTCATTCGACCCCAAATGGGGTCCCGACCCACAGGTGGAGAACCACTGGTATATAGAGTCTCCTGCTTGAGCAGGGGGTTGGATTAGATGACCTCCGAGGTCCCTTCCAGCTCTGTTCTGTTTCTGATCCTGACCTTTTTTGTTTCTTCTTCTTCTTCTTCCTCGTCTCTCTCCCAAATTTCCAGAAGAGCAATTCATGCTGAAGCAAATCGCCGACAGTGCAATTGATGTCTATGCCATGGTGGTTGTTCTCTCCAGGTAAGCCCCCCCTCCCAAGACCACCTGCCCAAAGCAAATCTCCTTTTTTTTATTGCTGGCTGGAATAGCCCACACCCCAGAAGACAGACTCAAGGTATCAAAGGATCTCGACAGACTTGAACCCAGAGCCCTATCTAAAGAAATGAAACTTAGTGTAGACAAAAGCAAGTTAATACATTTAGGCAAGAAAAACCAAACGTACAGGTATAGTATAGGGGGTTCCTTGCTCAATAGTAGCAACTGTGAGAGGGATCTTGGAGTCCTAGTGGACGATCCCTTAAATAGGAGCCAGCCGTGTGCTGCAGCTGCCAAAAAAGCCAACACAGTGCTAGGCTGCATTAACAGAGGGATGGAATCAAGATCACATGAAGTGTTAATACCACTTTACAAGGCCTTGTAAGGCCACACTTGGAATAAGGCATCCAGTTTTGGTCACCCTGATGTAAAAAAAGATGTTGAGACTCTGGAAAGAGTGCAGAGAAGAGCAACAAAGAGGATCAGGGGACTGGAGGCTAAAACATACAAGGAATGGCTGCTGGAATTGGGGATGTCTAGTTTAACGAAGAGAAGAACAAGGGGGGACAGGATAGGAGTATTCCAATATCTCAGGGGCTGCCCCAAAGGAGAGGGAGTCCAGCTATTCTCCAAAGCGCCTGAAGGCAGGACAAGAAGCAACGGATGGAAACTAATCAAGGAGAGAAGCAACCTAGAACTAAGGAGAAACTTCCTGACAATTAGAACAATTAACCAGTGGAACAACTTGCCTCCAGATGCAGTGAATGTTCCAACACTGGAAGTTTTTAAGAAGAGACTGGACAGCCATTTGTCTGAAATGGGATAGGGTTTCCTGCCTGAGCAGGGGGTTGGACTAGATGCCCTCTGAGGTCCCTTCCAACTCTGATATACTATGGGGAACCTAAACGTTTCAGCCTGAAAGGTCCAATTGGGGAATCCAGGAAGAGAGATCTGCCAGTGGGCGGTTTTAAGGGATCCCGAGACCACATAAACGAGGTTGTCTAGTCCAGGCAAGTATCTCGGTTCCTCCTTGCCCAGTGGCCCACCTTGCAATGCAGGTGTGAGTCTTGCCTTCCAAAGATTTGATTTTGATTTTGCTCTCCTCCTCCTCCGTGTGGATCAACAGAGCATCGCGGGCGCTGGAACAAGGCCAGGCCACGGCCCAGCACGAGAAGGTCCTTTGCGAGACCTGGTGCATGGAGGTAGGCCTTTGGGGGGGACGGGAGGGGCAGCATCTCCGCAGGTGCCTGCCCCTGGCCGGGGCTTAGCCTGATGGGGGTGGGGGGAAGGAGGAAGAGACGGGGGGGGGCGGTGGAGGGTGGTTCAGGAAAGTATGTGAGTCACAGATTCACCCCAAATGTTCAGCAATCTTAAGATGGAGGGAGGGAGAAGGAAGGAAGGAAGGAAGGAAGGAAGGAAGGAAGGAAGGAAGGAAGGAAGGAAGGAAGAAAGAAAGAGAAGGAGGGAGGGAGGGAGGAAGGAAGGGAAGAAAGAAAGAAAGAAAGAAAGAAAGAAAGGGAGGAAGGAGGGAGGGAGGGAAGAAAGGAAGAGAAGAAAAAGAAAGGAAAAAAGAAAGAAAGAAAAAAGAAAATTAAGTAAAGAAAAAAGGAAAGGAAGGAAGAGAAAAGTAATGGAGGAGGAGAGCAAGAGAGGAGAAAGTAAAAAAGAAAAAAGGGAGGAAGGAAGGGAAGAAAGGAAGAGAAAAACAAACAAAGAAAGAAAGAAAACAAAAAGAAAGAAGAAAGAAAGGGAGGAAGGAGGGAGGGAAGAGGAAGAGAAAAGGAAAGAAAGGAAAGGAAAAAAAAGAAAATTAAGTAAAGAAAAAAGGAAAGGAAGGAAGAGAAAAGTAATGGAGGGAGGGAGCAAGAGAGAAAGTAAAGAAAAAAGGGAGGGAGGGAGGAAGTAAAGAAAGAAAAGGAAGGGAAAGGAGGAAAGGAAAATAATGGAAGGAGGGAGGAAGAGGAAGGGAGGGAGCAAAAAGAAGGAGAATTAAAGACGAATGTATAGATAAAGAAAGATAGGTACAGGAAGGAAGCAGAGAAAAAAAAGAAGGAAGAAAGAAGAGAAAGAAGGAGACGAAAGGAAGAAACAAGTCTGGCAGGTTTTTTTTATTATTGAGAAAAGCAGGGATGGTTTTCAGGGGAACCCCCAAAAGAAACCGCGGGAAGCACCTCGGATCTCCTTTCCGAAAGGGACGTGATCCAGGAAGGAGGCGGTCCCACTTCCTGGAAGCGTAAAATCCTCTTTATTTTACCGAGGGCTCAATTCGATCGTCTCTTAAGCGGCCGCCCAGGTAATCCGGTTAGCCCTGCGGCCGGAGAGGAAAGCCTTTTCATTAGCAGCCTTCTCAAATAGCTCAGTGGAAAAGCAACATGTCAATAATTGGCGTTCAATAAACCTTCCTTTCCTCCAGAGCCCAATAAATTAATGAGCGAAAGGCTGACAGCTGTTCCCGCCCCACGCCTCAGAGGTTGTGCAAGTTCATAGACACAAAACTCGGCAACTTTAAGACGTGTGTGGACTTCAACGCCCGGAATTCCCCAGCCACGCTTGCTTTTTTTTTTTTTTACTCCTATTCTCCCTAGAGCGGAGAGATTGCAGAGTAAGGGATCACAAGAGAGTAAGCAGACATAAAGTCCCTAAGTCTTAAAACTTGCCAAATTTGAACATGACCCGTGACAGTTGGCGACTCTTAAGACTTTGGAACCTTCTTCTCCTTCTCTAACCCCAGTTGTTGTTGTTGTGTGTGTGTGTGTGTGTGTTTTGACCTGGGGGGGTGTCCCCCTTCTCATTGCTCCTTCTCTCTCTCCTCAGGCCCACCAGCGTATCACCCAAAACCTGACCTCTCTTTCGTCCAGTAGCACCCAACAAATCTTCAAGAATTTTCGGGTCATCTCCAAAGCGATGGTGGAGAAGGGAGGGGTGGTCTCCCCTTACACCCTGGGTTTCTGAGACCCCCCTCCTTATTTCTCGGCTGCATTCCTCCCTGGTTGCAATGGGGGGTGGGCTTCAGCTTTGGGGTGGGGCGTCCAAGCCTCATCCTCTCCCCACTGGAAGTTCACAGATGTCATTTTTTGGAAATTGCAGCCCCAACGCCTGCAGGCAGTCCTCAACTTACGACCTCCCAATTTTACGACCTTTTTTTTTCCCCGCACGGTTTGCGAGCGAATTCGTTGCAGTGAACCTCGCAAAGGGCGATCACCTGACCCCTTGCCCCCCCGACGCTGCGACCGTCGTAAATATGAGACCGTTAACCAAGTGCCCGAATTTTGATCACACGACCGCGAGGCTACAGTCATAATCATGGAGACCTGGCAGTAAACTTTTTTTTTTCAGTGATGTCGTAACTTCGGTCACTAAAGGGGGCGATCGTAAATCGGGGATTTACCCAGACCTGGAAATTCAGCCATCCGTCCCCCACCCCCCCGGGTGCTTCGCCCATTCCTGTAGTTGCGCCCATCCCTTCTGGGAATTTGCTATTAAATGATTTTATCCAATCATCTGGAGCATTGTTGATTGATGCGCGTGGGAGGGAGGGTTGACGTGCGGGCCGTAGCACCGGGGATTTTCAAATTATTTCCGTGCCATCCGGCAGGTTGGAAAGAGGTTAAAAAAAAAAAAGCTGCACCTGGAGAATGCAGCTGTCTCAAGTTGCAAAAATCTTTAAAAATTGGGAGGAAAAGCAGAACGGGCTTCTGAGCCCGTTTGCGGCAGAGAAAAACACGTGCAGCTCTCTGGAAAGTTGTTATTGTTATATTATTATTATTATTATGGATCATCGCACAGTCAGCCAGATGTTCAGACTGGATTTGGCATTTTGTCTACCTATCGAGTCCTTACCCAGGACCTGGGATAGGCAGATGTGGATGTTTGATGGTATTACAGGTATCGTTGCAGGATGGAAGCAGTTCCTAGTAAGGCCGCCTTTTGCAATTGACTAATAGCGAATTTGTCAATGCCAATGGTGTTCAAGTGGTGCTCCAGTTGTTTTGAGACTGCACCCAAGGCGTCCGCTACTATTGGTGCCACAGTCTTTCTATTTCTATTTGTAGGTCTTTGTATTTTGTGATCTCCAGTTCTTTCTCTTCTATTCTGCTGTCTCCAGGCACTGCCACGTCCACATTATCCAGACTTTTTTGTCTTTCTTATCGACAATTGTTTATTATTATTATTATGGATCATCGCACAGTCAGCCAGATGTTCAGACTGGATTTGGCATTTTGTCTATCTATCGAGTCCTTACCCAGGACCTGGGATAGGCAGATGTGGATGTTTGATGGTATTACAGGTATCGTCGCAAGATGGAAGCAGTTCCTAATAAGGCCGCCTTTTGCAATTGACTAATGGCAAATTTGTCGATGCCGATGATGGTGTTCAAGTGGTGTTCCAGTTGTTTTGGGATTGCACCCAAAGCGGCTGTTATTATTATTACATTATTAATTTGGGTTGGTCGCACAATCTGCCAGATGCTGAGACTGGATTTGGTTTTGGTTTTTTTTGGTCCATCTATTGAGGCCTTGCAAGGACCTGGGATCGGCAGATGTTTTAATTATTTTAAAGGCATTGTGTGTGCAGGGTGTAGGCAGTTCCAGATAAAGCAAATTGCAGTTGACTGACAGTGATTTTTGTCAGTGCTTTTCCAAGTAAAATTGCTTTTGCGATTGACTGACCATGATTTTTGTCAATTGCAAGCTCCTTTTGCAATTGACTGACAGTGATTTTAACAGAATAATAGAGTTCAAAGGAACCTCGGAGGTCATCTAGTCCAACCCCCTTCTCAGGCAGGAGATCCTACGCCATTTCAGATAAATGGCTGTCCAGTCTCTTCTTAAAAGCCTCCAGTGTTGGAGCATTTACTGCTTCTGGAGGTAGGTTGTTCCACTGGTTAATTGTTCTAACTGTCCGGAAATTTCTCCTTAATTCTAGGTTGCTTCTCTCCTCAATTAATTTCCACCTGTTGCTTCTTGCTCTGCCCTCAAGTGCTTTGGAAAATAGATTGACACAAACACACTCTCTTCTTTGGGGCAGTCCCTCAAATATGTTGTCGATGTCTTTCCAAGTAAAATAGCCTTTTGCAATTGACTGATGGTGATATTTGTCAATATTGATTACGTTCAAATGATGCTCGGAATATCTTTAAAATATTACCCAGGCATCTTTTACTACCACTAATAATTATTATTGCTTCCAATCCACTAGAAATGAGGAACCAAATTTAAAACTGTGACAGAGAACAATGACCAATTCTTACCTCTGTTTTTTTAAAAAAAGAAATAGTCATTTCACACATCATTTTAATTTCATTTTCCTTTTGAACATGTATTTTTAATAGCAAGTGCAAAAGCTAGAAAGCCAGCAGGAAAAGGAAAAAAAAAAGACAAATTGTATGATTATATGTGGAAGGAAAAAAACATGCAAATATATTTCCTTTGATTCGAGATAAACTAAATACAAATAGAAGATGTATCTAATTCAAAATAATAAATATATTTCACGACCGCAAGTGAGCCCAAAATTTACATCGCTAAGTGAGACATCGGTTAAGTGAGTTTTGACCCAGTATACGACTTTTCTTTGCCACTGTCGGTAAGTGAATCACTGCAAGCAAACACTGTGACCGTCGTAAGTATGAGTCACTTGCCGAGCATCTTGAATTTGGATCCCGCAATCCAGGGGATGGCTGCAACGGTCGTTAAGTGTGAAAAATGGTCCTAAGTCCCATTTTTCAGCACCGTCATCACGTCAAACGGTCACTAAACGGATAATTGTAAGTTGAGGACTTACCATTTGTCCGAAATGGTATAGGGTTTCCTGCCTGAGCTGGGGGTTGGACTAGATGACCTCCAAGGTCCCTCCCAACTTTTTTATTATTATTATTATTATTATTATTATTATTATTATTATTATTATTATTATGAAATGGTATAGGGTTTCCTGGCTGAGCAGGGGGTTGGACTAGATGACCTCCAAGGTCCCTTCCAACATTATTATTATTATTATTATGTAATGGTATAGGGTTTCCTGGCTGAGCAGGGGGTTGGACTAGATGACCTCCAAGGTCCCTTCCAACTTTATTAGTATTATTAGTATTATTATTTGTCTGAAATGGGGTTTCCTGCTGGATTTAGAGGATAAAGGTTATTTTATGAGTAAGCAATGAGATTAGAATGAGAATTAGAATATGACTGTGAAATAAACTAGGAATCTACTGGAAGAAATAATAACTGTATTTTAGACATGATATTATTTTGCAATGAATTATTAAGGGAACCGTGGGTTATCCGAAACTTAAAACATTACTGGACACTAAGCCAACTGGAATATTGTAATTGAAACCAGACAAAAGTCAAAAACAGGATCTGGAGACATATAATTTAAAAGCTGTTTATAAATGCTTTAAACGATTGAGTTATAACTAGCAATTTATTAATTTGAATTTGGTATAATAACTAAGGGAAACAGAGAGGAGGTCTTGGATGATGTAAACTGATATATGCGTGGATAAGTGTGTTACTGGACTGTGTATTACCCAACAACCATGTTGCTTCCTTAAATACCCGAAGTGTTGTAAAAATGGAAAATTAATAAAACTTGGGTTTTTTTAAAAAAAATCTTTTTTATTTCTAGTTTGCTCCTGTTGATTGACAGCCGTCCCGATTTAGCCGCCTCTATAGAGAACTTTAATGAAAAGCGTTTTTAAAACAAGCAAGCAAACAAAACTTCCAAAAGTTTGGTGAAACGTTGGTGAAAACTGGAGGGGGGGAGGGCTTGGGAAGAGCATTCTGTTCCTACTACAAGCCCCATCATGCTTTGGGGGGGGCGTGGGCGTGGTGGGAGTCGTAAACCCCTCTGCCCTACAAATCTTTTAATCTGGCAGCTGTTTGGAGAGGAAGGGAGATTAAGAGATTAACGTGCTGGCTGTAGTACTAACCGCCTTTGCAAGATGCCCGTCAAAAGACAAGGTAGGTCGCGTTGAGCTTGCGTCCTGGAGTAGGTGGGCTTTATCTCCGCTATGCGTAGATTTGGGGGTGTCCCTTGGGGATTGGGGGGGGGGTGGACGGTTCCCTTCTGGAGCTGAGGACCCCCACTTTGGAGAGCGCTTGGGGGCGTTAAGGACACCTCCCCACTTTGGGACAAAGCTGTGGGAAGGGTCTAGGACTTGGCTGCCAACCCCCCCCCAAGATGGTTTATAGTGGTCTTTTCCCCTACACGGGGGGCTCCCCAATTAAGGGTGGGGGGCTCCCCAATTAAGGGTGGGGGGCTCCTAATGCCCTGTCTGGACATGGCTGCCTTTTGTTATTGTTCTCCATTAGCAAGGGGGTTGTGATGGAGGAGGGGGGCAGCCACGCTTCCCATGCTGGTGGGGGGCAGGGGGAGCCCCCAATTCGGGCAGCCTGAGGCAGGCAACACAGCCCATTCCCCACCTGCACAACTTTTAAGAAGGGTGGATTTTAACTCCCAGAATTCCCCAGCCAGTCAGCCAGCCGTTCCTGTTTATTTTTTTTTTTCTCCTATCCCTTAAATCAGTGTTTCTCAACCTTGACCATTTTAAGGCATGTGGACTTCAACTCCCAGAATTCCCCAGCCAGCAATGCTGGCTGCGGAATTCTGGGAGTTGAAGTCCACATGCCTTAAAATGGTCAAGGTTGAGAAACACTGCCTTAAATGTTATGTACTGCTTTTATGTATTCCTATCTATTTATTTATTTTTACTTGCACCCTATCCAGGGGTTCCTCTGCGAGGTGGATGAGTAAATAAAAACAAAATAATAAAATAAAATATAAAATAATAAAATAAAATAAAAACTGAAGAAGGTGGATTCACACAACATCCTAAGCTAGAAGGCGCTTGGCTGATTCCTTGCTCTGGAAAAATAATGCGAAAGGGGGAAAGGAAAGGACACCAAGAGGTGATGCAGTGCCTGGCTTAGACTCGGTAGTCCTTTTCCACCCTCGGAGCTTAAATTGGACGCTGAGAATTAGTTCGGCCACAAACAGCTAAAACACAATTCCTCGGTCTAAATTATTGTTTTTATAGGTCTATTAAAATATATATATATATTTAATTTCTATCCAAAATAACTCCCTTTTCAACCAATAAACTCAGAAAGAACCTTGAGGCTGGGACAGCCAGGAGGCCAAATGTGTCTGAGGCCTTTTGTTGTGTGTGTGTGTGTGTTTGTGTGTGTGTGTCAAAAAAAATAGGTGCAATTGCCACCCTGTTGACATGTTCTGAGTGCGAATGACAGTAAATCCGAAAGGAAAACAACTTTTTTGACCCCTGCACCCAACGGCTTGGTGAAGACCCCAGCCCCTCCCCCTCCCTTTCCCCACTGAAGCCAACTGGAAAAATTTGCAAATGGCGGTTACATGACTTCCGCCACCCCCCCCCAGGACGCTGCCTCTGTCATAAATACCTGCCCCGTTGCTCAGTCCCCCAAATTGCAACAGGGCGGCCACAGGGATGCTGCACCCCGTCGTAAGCCTGAGGACCGATTGTAAATCGCTTTTTCCTCAGTGCTGTCGCAACGTCCCTAAGCAAACCGTCGTAAGTCGAGGGCTTGCTGCAGTTCCGTGGAGGCTGCCTTGATTCTGCATAAGCCGTCATTCCTAACCGCGGCCTCCCCTTTCTCGTTCTCCTGTTCCCCTTTAAACCCAGATGCGGCGACCGTCCTGCAGCTCATGAAGCAACCCGCGAAGTTGAACCCGGATTCCCGGACCAAGATGGACAGACTCCTGGGGGTCTTCCAGAGCGAACTCTTCCAGGCCCTTTTGGGTAGGTACGGCGCTGGCTGGAGCCAAACCAGAGCTACATGGCGGGAAATGAAAGCTTAGGATCACTTGTTGGTCTCCCATCCAACAGGAGCCAGGCCTAACCTTTGTCTTCTGCGAACTGTCACTTGTTCTGAAGGGCCAAGGAAAGCGGCTTCCTGCAGGGTGTTTTTCTTTGGGGGGAGGGGGTAAGATATCTCTTGGGATATCTTCTCTCATGCTGTGTTTCGCACTCGGCATCGGACATTCCGAAGGGGTCTCCCGTTCCAGCTTTTCTTTCTAAGAATTAGTGAGCTGTTGCCACCTGCTGGCAGGTCAGGGAAATGCCTGGGTCCCATTCTCAAAGAGATCCACCTTTCTTTCCCAGAATTCCGAGGATTCCAGGGGCTGAGGGGACTTCAGAGGCCATCTAGTCCAACCCCCCACTTGTCACGAATCCTGGCTTGTCCAAACAAGCGTTCGTTACCGCCGTTGTTCACCTGAGCTGATCAAGATTGGGGGGTGGGAGGCGAAATGGAGGAAGATCAATCTAGTAAAATAAGATAAGAAACTAAATCCGAGGAGCTAGTCCACAGTTTGCAACGGTTCGTTTAGCGACCGTTTGAAGTTACAACAGCGCCGAAAGGACCCTTTTTCACACTTAACGGCCGTCGCAACGTTCCCCACAGCCACGTGATCAAAATTCGGCCGTTTGGCAACCGATTCCTCTTTTATGACGGTGCGCAGTGTCCCGGGATGTGTGTATGTGTGTGTGTGTGTGTGACATGATCCCCTTTTGCGACCTTCTGACAAGCAAAGTCAATGAGGGAGCCGGATTCATTTCATGACCGTGTGACTCCCTTAATAAGTGCAGAGATTCAGTTAATGACTGCGGCAGGAAAGGTCGTAAAACGGGGCAAGACTCACTTAACAACTATAATAATTATTATTAATAATAAGTTGCAATAAGATTGCACAGACTGACTACAAGCAGCGGCATGACAAAGTAGCAACAATGGTGCATTGGAAGATCTGCAAGAAATATCATTTGCCTGTAAGCAAAAACTGGTGGGATCCTAAAATAGAGAAAGTCATAGAAAATGATAAAATTAAACTGCTCTGGGACTTCAGAATTCAAACAGACAAGCACCTGCAACATAACACCCCAGACTTAACAATTGTCGATAAGAAAGACAAAAAAGTCTGGATAGTGGACGTGGCAGTGCCTGGAGACAGCAGAATAGAAGAGAAAGAACTGGAGAAGATAACAAAATACAAAGACCTACAAATAGAAATAGAAAGACTGTGGCAAAAGCAAGCAAGGGTAGTACCAATAGTCATAGGCTCCTTGGGTGCAATCCCAAAACAACTGGAGCACCACTTGAACACCATTGGCATTGACAAATTCGCTATTAGTCAATTGCAAAAGGCGGCCTTATTAGGAACTGCTCCATCCTGCGACGATACCTGTAATACCATCAAACATCCACATCTGCCTATCCCAGGTCCTGGGTGAGGACTCGATAGGTAGACAAAATGCCAAATCCAGTCTGAACATCTGGCTGACTGTGCGATGATCCATAATAATAATAAAGTTGGAAGGGGCCTTGGAGGTCATCTAGTCCAACCTCCTGCTTAGGCAAGAAAACCTATTCCATTTCAGACATCATCATCATCATCATCATCAAGTTGGAAGGGACCTTGGAGGTCATCTAGTCCAACCCCCTGCTCAGGCAGGTAACCCTATACCCTTTTATAATAATAATAATAATAATAACAACAATAATAATAGTAATAATAAAGTTGAAAGGGACCTTGGAAGTTATATAGTTCAATCCCATGCTCAGGCAGATAAACCTATACCATTTCATAATAATAACAACAACAATAATAACAATAATAATAAAGTTGGAAGGAACCTTGGAGGTCATCTAGTCCAACCCCCTGTCTCACGTAGCCAGGGAAAGTGTGGGCTCAATTATCATAAGCTGAGGATTACCTAAATGCATCATTATATATAAATACACAAATACATACATAGATACATACATACCGGTACATATATACATACATACGTACATAAAAGGGTTTATCGTGGTTAGGGTGTTTTCCAAATGCAGGCGGGGTTTTCCATTGGACAAGTGAAGTAGGATGGCCGTCCTGGGAAAGTGACTGGAGTCTCTGAGCCCTCCCCCCTGCCTCGTCCACTAACCAGATTGCAGCTTTGCTGGGATGTATTTATAGACCCGGCAATCTCTGTTTATTTTGAGTTCGGCTTGCCAAAGTCTGTAATTTTCCAGACTTTCGAAAGATGGCTTATATTTAGCAGAGTTGCTGAGGAAGCTTTCTACAGACGGAAGAGAAGCAGCCGCTCCAATAAGTCCACGTAATCCTGGTTTGCTGGACAGCAGCCTCAAGGGTGGCCAGGAATCTCAGTTACGGGGTGGATACACAAACCAGGATAATGGAAGGCTGACTGGCTGAGCTCCTACAGTGCCGCAGTGTCTCTTCAGCTCGGCTGCTTTACGATACCTGAACTTCAACTCTCAGAAATCCCTAGCCCGCATGGAATTCTGGGAGTTGAAGTCCACCCATCTTAGGACTGACATGGTGGCTGAGGAATTCTGGGAGTTGAAGTCCATCCATCTGAAACTCTGCCATGGTGGCTGAGGAATTCTGGGAGTTGAAATTCATCCATCTTAGGTCTGCCATGGTGGCTAAGGAATTCTGGGAGTTGAAGTCCACCCATCTGAAACTCTGCCATGGTGGCTGAGGAATTCTGGGAGTTGAAGTTCATCCATCTTAGGTCTGCCATGGTGGCTAAGGAATTCTGGGAGTTGAAGTCCATCCATCTGAAAGTCTGCCTGGTGGCTGAGGAATTCTGGGAATTGAAGTTCATCCATCTTAGGTCTGCCATGGTGGCTGAGGAATTCTGGGAATTAAGGTCTATCCATCTTCAAGTTGCCATGGTGGCTGGGGAATTCTGGGAGTTGAAGTCCACCCACAGTAAGATCTGCCATAGTGGCTGAAGAATTCTGGGAATTGAAGTCCATCCATCTTAGGTCTGCCTTAGGTCTGAGGAATTCTGGGAGTTGAAGTCCACCCACATTAAGGTCTGCCATAGTGGCTGGGGAATTCTGGGAGTTGAAATCCACCAGTCTTCAAGTTAGTAAGGTTGAGAAACACTCCTATACATAGCATTTTTTCCAAGCCAAATAAAGGCATTAAGAAATGTTCTGGGTTCGAGGCATTCTGCTCACCTAGAAACCCAGTAACTATGATGGTTGGGTTAAGAGGTTGTGTGTATGCCGACGAAACAATCAAAGATTTAGGGGAAATGATGGGAGCGCCTTACTGACGTGGCCTGGATTCGGAGAAGCTCGGCATAGTAAGGGTTGAGAGACCACCAGGAGATCTCAGTTGTGGAATCACAGAGCCAGGAAAACAGAGAAGATTGGGGTGGTAACGGTTGGGGGACCACCAGGAGATCTCAGTGACTGAATAGTGGAAAAACCTAGAGAGATCTTCCTGCATCTTGTAGGAGCTTGGGGTATTAATAGTCGGGAGACCATCAGGAGATCTTGGTTGTGAAGCCAAGATGCCTTCCAGTCTGCATAGTTTTTACAAGGCGAAACTGGGGCAAAATTTCTCTAAAAGATTTATTTGGCGTTCTTTCATGCAGATATCCAGGAGTTTTATGAAGTGACCGTCTCCGAATGCGGCCGCTCGGCTCCGCAGAGGTCTCTGCCCAAGGTAGGGATGGGTTTTATTCGTCTCCGGCGGAGACCCCTCCATTTCCCCCCACCCCAAACTTTGCCCGTGTTCAGTTTGGGGGTTCAGCACCCAAAGGGGCACATTCAACAGCCCCAAATCTCTCGGTCACATCGGTCTCTGGAGGAAGGCCCTTTCTCAACACGGGAGGCTAAACTTTACCAACCACAAAAGCAAAGTTGATTTTTGCAATGATGTCACCCCCTGTATTTGGGAGGGGGGATGCTCAAATGTGTTAAAGGGGTACGGACTGAGCCTGCCTCAGGCCCATGTATTCCCCTCCCTTCCCCTGTGTGTGAATAGAATGGAATGGAATGGAATGGAATAGAATAGAATAGAATAGAATAGAATAGAATAGAATAGAATAGAAAATAGAATAGAATGGAAAACATAGAATAGATTGGAATAAATAGAATAGAATAGAACGGAACAGAACAGAATGGAAAATATAGAATAGAATAAATAGAATAGAGTAGAGTAGAACAGAACAGAACAGAACAGAATAGAATAGGGAATAGAATAAAACAGAACAGAACAGAATAAGGAATGGAATAGAATAGAATAGAAAATATAGAATAGAATAAATAGAATAGAATAGAATAGAATAGAATAGAAATAGATACGTATATAGAAAGATAGTTAATGATAGATAGATGATAATGGATAGATCGATAATGATAGATAGATGTTAGATAGCTAAGATAGAGAGAGAGATACATATATAGAAAGATAATGATAGATACCCAGAAAGTAGATGAAAGATGGGTAGATAGATGATAGATAGCTAAGATACATAGATAGATAGAGATACATAGATATATAGAAAGATAGTTAATGATAGATAGATGATAGATAATGATAGATAAATGATAGATGATAGATACAGTAGCTAAGATAGATACATAGATAGATAGAAAGAGTTAATGATAGATAGATAATGATAGGTATTAGATAGCTAAGATAGATACATATATAGATAATGATAGATATATATACATAGAAAGATAGATGAAAGATGGGTAGATGATAGATAGCTAAGATAGATACATAGAGATACATAGATATATAGAAAGAATTAATGATATAGATGATAGATACAGTAGCTAAGATAGATAGATAGAAGATAGATAGATAGATAGATAGATAGATAGATAGATAGATAGATAGATAGATAGATAGATAGATAGGAGATACCAGTAGATAGGAGATAGATAGATGAAAGGTGGGTAGATCATATAGCTAAGATATAGATACATAGATAGAAAGATAATGATAGATGATAGGTAGATGATAGGTAGATGGATGGATGGATGGAGAAAGGGATGCATAGATAGATAGATAGACAGGTAGACAGATGAAAGATGGATAAATGCATAGAGAGAGACAGAGAGAGTTACAACGAAGAGCAAAAGAGAGGAAGACGAAGATGAAGGAGGAAGAATCCTCAGAGAAAACCTGTAACTGGGTCAGGAGAGAGGAAAGGAGCGTTGAGGGCATCTTTGCTTTAATTAAATGAAATTCCAGTTAATTAATCCCTGGGTTTCTCCCATAGGAACCAGAAACAGAGCAGCAGGACACAGGCCCACGTACTGGGCGGGTGGGGGAGGCAGGATATCCTTGACTGGGCCATTTAGAATACAGGAAGTTCCCCCAAGGTGATTGGAGAGGGTCCCGAGTTCCAATGTGACCATGCTTGGCATAACGACCAGCAAGGAATCTTCCACTTGACTCGGTCACCCCCAGCCTTACCCGGAGGTTACCCTACCTACCCCCCAAATCACAGCTGGCCGTGGCGTCCTCCTCCAATCAGGGCTCCCCTCGTGGCATCCTGTGGCAGTGAGTTCCACAGATTAACTGGGGGGGGAGTTTGCGAGAGAAATGATTCCCGCGGGGATATTGGGAGCGCTTTGAAAACCTGACAGCGCCCGCCGGTGAGATAGCTGCCACCCCTTCGGAGGGCTCCTAAGGCTGGCTGGGGAAGATGGCCTTTGTAGTCCAAACAGAAAGGGCCGGGAAGACTTAAGAGCGCTAAAGCAACCGATCCTAGGAGTGATTCGTGGTTGAGCCTCCTGGCTCAGCAGCAGTCTACCTTGAAGGGCCCTGGGGAAGGCTATGCAGTGTTTGCACGGGGCCCCAAAGCCAGCCCCCCTCTCTAAGAGGGTGGAAAGTTTGAAGAGGCAAACCTTTGCACTGTGGAGACCTGGGCAGAGGTTTCATCGCCCAACTAGGGAACAACGTCCCTGCAAGGGAGGGTGGGGTTTACTGCTTGTTGGGGTGCAGGTTCCCCCCCCCCTTTGACTCTGAAGCTGGATGGAAAAACTCAGTCCTTTGTGCGTTTTTTTAAGTTGCTCTTCCTTGCCGCAAAATTGGGGCGGGATCTGCCCACCGGGTCTGCCGCCCAGGCCTGTGGTGGCCGCCTTTGTGCACGATGGGAGTTGTAGTCTGACGCTCTGCTCGGAGGGGGAGGGGTCACACTCACAAACCTTCCCTTTGGGGTGCTTGCAAAGACCAGCCTGGATATTTCCCCTTCCTGCTGCTAACAAACCCGTCCATTTCCTTCCCGCCTCGTCTTCTGCCTTATATATTATATATTCTATTATAATAATGATAATGATAATAAAATTAGAAGGGACCTTGGAGGACATCTAGTCCAACCCCCTGCTCGGGCAGGAAACCCTGTACCATTTCGGACAAATGGCTGTCCAGTTTCTTCTTAAAAACTTTCAGTGTTGGAGAAGGGAGGGAGGGAGGAAGGAAGGAAGGAAGGAAGGAAGGAAGGAAGGAAGGAAGGAAGGAAGGAAAAAAAGAATAACAGAACAACAGACTCAGAAGGGACCTTGGAGGTCATCTAGTCCAACCCCCTGCTCAGGCAGGAAACCCTAGACCAGTGGTTCTCAACCTTTTTAATGCCGCGACCCCCAACCGGTCGTAAGTCGAGGACTACTCAACCGGTCGTAAGTCGAGGACTACTCAACTGGGGCAGCACCGTTTGCAGAATGGGACTTTTGGCGGGCTCAGCAGGGCAGAGACAGCCTGGACAATTCCTATTGGCTTTGAAAGCCAATAGAATTAGACTCTATTCACGAGAGTCTATTCTATTGGCTTTCAAAAGCCAATAGAATAAAAGGGAGTAGCACAGCTAAGGAAAAGGGGGAAAAAAATGGCGGACTGCGTTGTTTGGTGACCCCTGTGAAATGGTCGTTCGACCCCAAATGGGGTCCCGACCCACAGGTTGAGAACCACTGCCCTAGACCATTTCGGACAAATGGCTGTCCAGTTTCTTCTTTAAAACTTCCAGTGTTGGAGCATTCACCGCTTCTGGAGGCAGGTAGTTCCACTGGTTAATTGTTCTAAGTGTCTAACTATATAATATTATATATTATATATTTCGACCCCTCCACACACACTCAGGTTTTCCTGTCCACTCCCTCCTTTTCCCTAGCCCCGTCCTTACCCCTCACCCCCCCTGCCCCGCGGGCAGCTCAGCCAGGGAAAAAGTTGGGTTTTTGCAAAGGCTTTTCCCAAGGTGCCAACTTTTTTTGCTATCTGCCATCCTCTAGGGCTGTGAAATCCCCCACCCCATTTTTGTTTGTTTGTTTTGGAGTGGTTTTTTTTGTTTGGGGAGGGCGCAGGTGGTCTTAAGGAGACGGTTTCTGGGTGCATACCTTGCGCAAAAGTTCTTGTTCGTTGAGGGCCCCTCGTGACACCGCCAGTCCTGGGGAGGGGGGAGAGAAATAGGTTGAAGTCTGGATCCAGGGGCCTGGCGCTCAAGTGGGACGTTTCTGTGGGACACCCCCTCCCCCCCCATCCAATCCACCACTTCTCTGGCACCCACCTAGCTGTGGCTTGAGATTTTTCAAGAATAGGACTTGGCAGGGATGGCCTTGAGCAGGGGGTTGGACTAGATGACCACTGAGGTCCCTTCCTGCCCTTAAGAATCTGGGCTCTGCCTGCTTGCCCAGAGCTACTGGCTGCATTTTGGGCTACATTGGTTGGGGCTTTGCTTCTCAGATTCCCACGGGGTGGGGGCGGGGGCGGAAGAAGCTGGGAAGTCCGGAGCCCCCCACCCCCATATTTTGGGATTCCAGCCCCCTTAATCTGCCCCCCCCCCAGCCAGGTGGCTTGGTTTCCTTGGATGCCCCAAATCTCTGTCCTCGCCTGCTGCCTTGGCCCCCCCCTCCCCACCCCCCCTGCCTGCTTCCAGCACCTGCAGGGTTAACTCCCAGTGACGCGTCCGCCACCTCTGCCGCCACCCACCTCCCTTCCGGCACTCTAGAGGTTAAACCCCCTCCCCTTCTCTGCCTCTGTTCTTGGTGGGTCCTTCCCCCCCCGCCCCCCTTCCCTCTGCCCTCCTCCGGAGGGGCGCTGGACCCCGAGGAAGGGGCTTTGCCTCGCCCTTCCCTCTCTTCCTCCTCCTCCTCCTCCTCCTCCACCGTCGTACCTGCTCGCCTCCCTCCCTTTCCTGCCCCCCCCCCGCTGCGTCCTCGGGGGAGGGGGCTTGATTGGGGGAGCCACCACTTTCTCCTTCTCCTCCCCCCACCCCCAGACCGGCCGCGCGCCCTCCCCTTCCTTTCCACATTCTGTCACTTCCCCCCCCCCCAGCCCACTCACCGCAAGCCAGCTCGCTCCCCCCCCCCTTCCTCTCTGCTCTTCCCTTTCGCTACAAGCGCGCTGCCCATCCGCTTCTTGCACATTTACACACCCAGCCCGTCCGCCGGCCCCCCTCTCCCCTCCCCGGCGCTCACACGCCCGCCTGGGAGCCCCCCACCCTCCCCCCCACCGCCGGGTGCCAAGGCGAGGAAGCCAAGGACCATTGTCAGGAGGGGAGGGGGCGAGTGGTAACCCTGAGCCCCGGCGTGTCTGATGTGCTACAGATCTCCGCCGCCTAGCTACTGCCGCTGCCGCTTGGATCCGGAGTCAAATGGATTGCTTGTGCATAGTCACCACCAAGGTAAGGACCCCCCCCCTTTCGGAGACACTCT